CTTTGTTGTGCAACCAGCACTGGTCAGGCCGGGAGGGAATCTGGGTTCGGACACAAACGCAGTGTCTCTCCCCACTGCCCAGCTGCCCGAGGGCACCTCCCTCTACGTACTTTCTGTCTTCTGAGTCTCTGGCATCCGGGGCCTTGCTGACGTGGAGGGACGGCCCTGCCCACATTAGCTAATTTCTATAGACGGTAAACAGCCTGCTGAGAGCCTGCGTTCAAACGCAGACCAAGCCTCCGGCACTAAACCCGACAGCCTCCCACGCCACACCCTCAGGACACTGTCCCCTGCCCTAAGCACCCCGGCAGGGTATCCACAACCAGGGACATCCCTTATGCCCCAGGGCCCCCTGGAATCATCCAAACAAGCCGCGCCTAAACCTGCTCACCCTGCCTCACCGGCTCCTTCCCCCCCCGCCCCGGAAACCACAGCCCAGGCCGCTGCCCACAGGTCCCGGCCTCCCTCTGCCCTGGTGTGCCCCTGCCCCACGCTGGGAACTGAGTAACAAACCATCATTTCAGTGGCAGCTGTCTGCTGACCTGTAGGCCTCACGACACCTGCATGGCAAGAAAACCTACACTTTAAAACAGGACGGCACATGTGTCGAGGTGCTGCTGGGGTCCAGCCCCAGCGGGTCCAGGGGTTCCCCAAGGTGTGGACGGAGTCGGCGAAGAATGAAGGACACGGAGCCAGTGTTTAGGTGATCATCATAGCCAGATTCTTTTTTTTATTGTCATCTAACATCTGTATTTATACTATTTGGTCCTCACCTGGGGAAACAACCTCTCTTCTCCTAGCCAGGTTCCTCCCCCTATTGTCCTCTTACATCTGCATTTATCCTATTTGATCTTAACCCCATCGATTCCATTCCAAAGGCTAGGGCGTTTCTCATCTCTATTTCAAGGTTCCTTGAAACATTCCTGCAGGGACTGCCTCAAGCAGCCAGGGTGGATCGGCTTCCAACAAGGTGCCACCGCAAGGGCCCTGGGGAGGATCGGTTGGAGGCTGCTGCCCGAGGCTGTGCCCCAGGCTGTGCCCCAGGAAGCAATAGTGCTTTTGCCCCGTTTGGCTGAGGAGGAAGCCAGAGCTCAGGAGGCAGACCTGCCTATCAGAGCTGGGGCTCCGAACCAGGGCACCTGTCCTGGGACCCCACACAGCCCAGCAGAGCGAGCATGGTGAGCTCATTAACGCTGGCTCACTGAAATAGCCCCACTGCCCAGGATGTCCTCTGAGCCTCCTGGGACCTTCGGGTGCAATTCAGACACACGGGGTGGGGGTGGAGGTGGGGGTGGGGGAGTTTCAGGCCTCAGCGGCTCCGGCTCCGTTCCTGCAGTGAGCTCAGCGAGGCCTGGCAGCGTGTATGCACACAGGCCAGGCGGGCACAGGCCAGGCCGACGTGGGCAGGAGGGACTGGCAAAGCAGCCAGGCCTCCAGATCCAGCCTCAGGCCGGCCTTCAGGAGACGTTCTCTTTTTGGGGATTTGGCAAGTTTTCTCAAGGGTAATATTCCTTCTCAGAGGAGACGTCCACTTTAATGTCAAGGTTCAGGTTTGACAGTTAAGTAGCGTCTTCCCTTAAATGGAAGGAAGCCATGAGTTTCTGTTTCTATGCATCAGAACATCCTGGGAGAAGATAAATTTTTGTTGTTGTTAATCCTCACCTGAGGATTTTTTTTTCCATTGATTTTTTTAAAGAGAGAGTGGAAGGGGAGAGACACACAGAGAGAAACATTGATGTGCTGCCTCCCTCATGCACCCCGACCAGGGCCGAGGGATGGAGCCTACAACTGAGGTATGTGCCCTTGACCGGAATCAAACCCACGACCCTTCAGTCCGTGGGCGGACACTCTAACCACTGCAAAGCCAGCTAGGGCAAGGAGAATGTTCTGGAAGGCAATAGATGTCAGTGAGCATTACCCTGTGGGTAGAGCATTGGCCTGTGGACTCAAGGGTCCCGGGTTCGATTCTGGTCAAGGGCACATGCCTGAGTTGCAGGCTCGATCCCCAGCAGAGGGTGTGCAGGAGGCAGCCAATCAATGATTCTCTCTCATCATTGATGTTTCTATCTCTCCCTCTCCCTTCCTCTCTGAAATCAATAAAAAAAAAAATCTAAAAGAGAAAAAAAAAGAGATGTCAGTGTGCCGTTAACAATGAGCAGCCACCATGATGATGACAATGATGGCAACATGGACCCCGCCCCCAGGGCAGGAAAAAGTGGGCACATGAGTCCCCACTTCACAGATAAGGAAACTGAGGCACGTGGCACGCACTTCCTCAGGGTCCCAGAGGGAGGAAAGAGGGAGGAGGGGGTTCGGCCTCACCGGCAGGGACAGGCTCTGCTGGGGTCTGGATAGTCCCCCTGGTTCCTTATCTGTCCAAACCTTCAGCCTCGAGAAGCCCCCTGGCCCTGGGTTAGGAGGAGACTGCACCTGAACTTGTCAACCCCGGGCCACCCATATTAGAATCACCCGGGGAACCACCCAGACCCAGTGAGTCAGAATTTGGGGTCTGGCTGGGTCTGGCCTTGGTACTTTCAAAATCTCCCGTGCACACACTGGCTCCTCTGCCCGGCACCCCACATGTTCTGGGATTGAAACAGTCCAGTCTGCACAGGTTTCTCGTGAGCAAGAAATAGAACCTTTCTGTGTAAAGCCCCTGAGAAGCAGGGGTTTATTTGTTACGGCAGCATCGTGAGGTCTGTCCTGACCGATATTCCGGGCGATTCTGAGGTGCAGCCGGGGCTGAGACTGGCCATAGCCCCCCTGTGGTTTTGTCTCGTGTGAAAGGTGTGAAAAGCCAAGTACCTGCTGACGTAAGAGACGTCGGGCCAATCTGATGGCTTCTGGGCGCAGGTCTCCGTGCTCTGGAGAGGACAGTGTTGTCTGTGAGATTAGGGAGGGGCGGAAGGAAGACTGGAGAAAGCGAGCTGGGATTGGACCCCAAGGGTGGCCCTGCCGACTGGGGTGTTCCTTCCGGCTCTCAGAGGTGTGCTACCCGGGATGCACAGGAGCAATGGGCAGGGCTGGCTCACAACCTTTCACGGGAGCAGCGCAGGCCCGGGCGTGGCTGCCCGCCATGCCCTGCCCAGGAATTTGCGATCAGCTCACCCTGAGGTTACTCTCCAGAGAACCCTTTTTCACCCACACACCTATGTCTCAGGGCTGGTTTAGACCAGTCAACACGTGTGACATGCCTGGCCCAGCCCTGCACACGGGACACGCTCAGCGTCACCCTGGTCACTGTCCTGGCCCATGAGTGTACCTGGGCCTTCCCAGGCCTGAGGTCCCCTGGACCGGGAGCGTCGGCATGAACCCAGCAGGTCTCCCTTCCACTGTTTCCTCTCTGATGCACTGGCTCCAAGGCAGCCCCACGCAATGTGATTGTACTTTAAAACCACCCCTCCACGAAGTGGCCTTTGTCCCTCAGGGGCCATTCCTGGAGACGCCTGATGGATTCTGCCAGCCCTGGACGTTCAGTAGGAGCCTGGGTGTAGTGTACGCCCCTCCCCTTGCAATTCCGCTCGCACATGCAGGCTCAGAATGGCTGGCCGGGTCCGGAGGGGGACATGTGTGTCGCCTGGTGGCCCTCAACAGGAGGCCAGGCAGCCGGGCTCTGCAGGTCCTCCCGGCTGCCAGGCACCGGCACAGAATGTGGGTCAAAGGGCACACAGCCTCCAGGTGTGCAGGCTCATCTCCAGCCACTGAGGCTGAGCTCCCCTCCCCCCTACCCCCCCCAGCTGAGGTGGCCCCAGGTCTGCAGCCCCAGGTGTGAAGATGCAGGGAAGTGCCCTCCCTTGGTGATCTGCACTGTCCACTTTCAGAGCCACATTTTCCTGTGGTTCCGGGAGACACCAGTGACTCCATCTCTCCCACAAACCTCTGGGCCACCAGCCTCCGTGACACCACTGGGCAGGCTGCCTGCCCCTCCTCCGGGGACCCCCAGAGGTCTGCACCGCACGGGAAGAGCCACTCCAGCCCTTCTGGGGACTCGTGCCGTCACTGGCAGCGTGGAATTAGGGGTTCGGAGGGAGGCATTCATCTAGAGCTGGGCTCAGACTCCCTCCTGGCAGCACCAGCGGACGCTCTACCTTATGAGGTCGGGCCCACCACCCTCCCAGCCCAGCATCTGCAGCCAGGAAACAGCATGGCTGCCGCCCCCTGCTGTCCACGGAGGGTACTGCTGGGGAGGGAGTGTCCCAAGGCCTGCCTGGGCCAGCATCTCAGGGTGACTGGTACCTGAAGAGGGTGCGGGAGAGGGAGAGAGAGCAGGAGAGGGGAGAGGCCTCCTGGGTCGGTGCTGTCTTCCTTTTCGGATTTCCACGTCACAGAGGGACTCTGGAAGGGATCTTGCCAAGAAAGGATTTGCTCTGGTTTGTGCCACTTGAAAGCCCCAACTATTGTCTTGGAGGAAGCAGAGCCAGGCCTGGGCGTCTGAGAGCCCCCTCCTCCCCACACTCACTCCCCACAGTCCTCCGCTCCATTCCCTGGGCCTCTCCGGTTCAGGGTTCAAGACCCGTCCCTGCTTTCCTGTTGGCTGCCTGCCTGACCGCCCAGCCCTCCTGGGACAGGCGGCTGCTTTCAGGACCAAGTTCAAGCCTTGCCTGGCCCTGCTGTCTCTGCTGCTCCTCAGAACTGGCCCTCAAGCCCCGGCCCCACGGGGCTGTCCTTCCTCCCGCCTCCCTCCTCCCTTGATTCTGAGATGGAATCTGCTCATGTTTTTGTCCGTCTCCGCGGAAGTGGGATCTGGGTTGTGTCTCTTGGTGTCAGCTCTGGGGTCCCAGTGGCGCCTCCCCAAGGGTCCCCAGGCCTGCGCCTGCGGTGGAGGGGGGAGGGGCCAAGCATGCCAGCCCTTGTTTTACCAGCACCAGGCTGCCCAGGGAGGCCATGCCAGCGATTCTCCCCCAGTTCCCGGCCTCTGACGCAGGGAGGCTGTGCTCAGACCTGGCGCGCAAGCCAGACGGTGACGGGCACAGAGCTTCGGCATCAAACATGAAACAGACTCCCTGGAAAACGGGTTTATTTTTTTTCTGCAAATGCCGGCTCGATGATCAGCACAGACCCGGAGCAATCTCAATGGTGTTTATCCGGAGGACAGTCTGCGAGCTCACAATAACTGGGAGAGAGAGAACTCAGTCACAGCCTGACCACAATGCTGACCTTGTTTACCAGCCACCGGAGACCTGCCCAACATCCCCCTTTCAATGAAGCAGGGATTCCCGCTGTGACCAAGGGCCGTGTGCGACACACATGTCCTGAGACAGGACGGCTCAGCCTGTAGGATCCCCGCTGGGGGAGCCCTGCTTCATGGGGTCTGTGACGTCCAGGGAGGTCCCCGCCTGTGTCTCAGTCCCCCTCCCTGTCAGGCCCACAGGGGTGACGCCCAGAGCAGGTGGGACCGCAGGGCGCCAGCTCCGCTTTCTGTAACTTACTTCTCTTCTTCCTGTAGTTTTTCCTTTTCCTAAACTTCATGTTGATCTTTGGCCATGATTCTGTCTTTTCAATGACGGTGGCTTCTACGCGAACAAGATCCTTCCTGGAAATAAACAACGACAGACCTTCCCAATGAGCTGGCAACGTTGCCGATGCTTTACATAAGGTTTTCGAAAATGAAGTTTACTTTCCTTTTTTGCTGATCATAAAAGTGATGTGACCCCTGTAGACATTTTGAAAGCTATAAAGAAGCGTAATAGACCGTGCAGTCTGTCCACAGGTCTTACGGGCCATGTGGGAACGAGTTAGTAACAGCCCAGTGACCTGGTCTGGGAGCTTGCCCCTGGGGACACCTCGCATCTGCCATCATGAAGTATAAGCCTCTTGTGCTTGGCAATGGTTCGAGTGGACACCCCCGCCCGGCCTCACCGCCCGGCCCCGGGCAGAGCCCCACATCTGAGAGCACGTTACCCCAAGAGCGGCTTGCCCAGCAACGTGAAGTCGTCAGCGCCGACCAGCAGGACCTGCGATGTGAAACAGGGCGTTACCCGTGAGTAACAAGCGTGGCCAGGACAGGGAGGGCCCGGCTCGCACTGGGACTGGGAAAGGTGTGGCTGGAGACTGTGCTGCGGGCGGGACGTGCTAGCTCACTGTCGCTTTAGTGTAAACAAACTGTAAACAGAGGGGACGCAGATGCAGGACAGGGGAACTGATGATCCGATGTGGCGATCACGTACCAAGTTGTGTCAACCTCTGTGAAAACGACGGTGTTTTAGTTTAACAACAACAACAACAAACCTTAGTGAAGTCTAACACGCAGGGAAAAACACGCACCTCAGACTACGTGTCTTTGAGGCTGGTCACAGGGCTGCGAAGATGTGAAGGCTCAGGTGTACCTGCTGCAGCAGAACCCCTGGCCGCCGCCACCCTCTTGGGTCGGGAACAGTGGCGCCGTTTTTATTGGACGTTGGGAGACTGTCTTAAACTTTACTTGTGAGAAAAAAATCCAACTGTACTAAAATTAACTGTCTAAAGACAAAGCACATCTCTAACACCGGTGGCCAACGTACATTAGTGACAATTAGCGAACTGTTTCAGAGTCACTTTCAGCACATGCTCTCGACTCCTGGATTGCCTACACGATAAAAAGCAACCGGCATTAATGGGGCTTTCCACCATGTTTTGTTAATGTGAAATGTTCCCAAATAACACCTTCTCAGAGACCTTCACACCACTCCCCGAGTCATTACTCTAGACCCGGGTGGGGAATGCCCGCCCGAGGGCCTTATAGAGCAGAGAAGTCACTTGGCCTGGCCCTGCCCAGGCAGGAGGGCTGAGCAATTAACCCTTTGCGGTCGTATTAAATTTGGACATGGGTGTCGTACTGGTCGGAATTAATTTCCCCTGAAAGAGCAGTGATACATAACATGCAAGATTATGAAGGATAAACAAGATTTATTGATTCTTTTTTGGAACTACGTCACTGCTAGTAGAATCACTACAAACGTTATCACTTTCTACGTCAGAGTCAGTATTCAAGGTGCCAAAATAAAACTCTTCATCGTTACTTTCAGATTCGCAGTACACTTCTTTCAGTAACTTTCTTTTTGCCATTTTGGAGTATTATTTTGAAATATCTTGCCAAAACCGGTTTGGCTCAGTGGAAAGAGCACCGGCCTGCGGACTGAAGGGTCCTGGGTTCGATTCCGGTCAAGGGCGTGTGCCTGGGTTGCGGGCACATACCCAGTGGGAGATGTGCAGGAGGCAGCTGATCGATGTTTCTCTCTCATTGATGTTTCTGGCTCTCTATCTCTCTCCCTTCCTCTCTGTGAAAAATCAATAAAATATATTTTAAAAAAAAGAAAAAGAAATATCTTAACAAGCGAGAATGCCTAATTACAGTTAAACGTCATTTGTAAAGCTTTATTTGAAATTCTGCGAAGTATCTCTGAAGCTTGTCGATTTCTTCACTCTCAAAAGGCGATTGACTCGCCACGGTGTTTTGCATGGCGCGTGTTTTGCACGACCGCGTTTGTTTATATTGAGTTTCGATATCTCCGATTTGTCGGGGCAATGTTTTGGTTCGTGACAAGGTCGCTCAGACACTTCAGAGCTTTCAGAGAAATTAGGAACTGATACATGAATGAATAGAGTTAAGATTCGTACGGTTCCTTGCTGTGGTGGCTGAGAGCAGACATACAACCGGAACGGTAAAAAGGCTTTGGTGGCTGAGAGTAGACAAACGACCGCAAAGGGTTAAATGTCTGACCAAGTAGAGTGGCTAATTTTTTTAAAGTTGATAATGTTGTATGGCCCTCGAATGATGTTATAAATATGCAAATGGCCCCGGGCAGAGAAAAGGTTCCCACCCCTGCTCGAGACACACAGTCAATGTGCTCCTGTCCACGAGCTCAGGGCAGAGCCGCCAGGCCGTGCGGAGGAGCGCTCGCCGGTGGCTGCCGTCCCGCTCAAGCTACGCAGGAGCTCAGATCATAGGCTGCGGGACCGCCCCAGCAAGAGTTCATACGCCAAGACCTGGCCACCCCAAAGGACGGAGGAGTTTTCATCAGTACAGGAAATCCTACGTGTCATATTCCATCATGTTGGCGTAACGGACACACCCTGGGAAGCTGATCTAGTACAGAGCGCTCATGTTTTATATGTAGTTTTATAAGCAGGAACAGAGCAGGCAAAAATCAAATACATTTTGGCCACAGCAAAGAGAATCGTAACCAAGGGCAGGAACGTGTAGCTAAATACACAGACGGAGCAGGCAGTTCCCAGCGGTCAGGGAGAGCCAGTGCCCAGGAAGGGCCTCCGAACAGGCCTCGCTGTTTCAAAGCAGAGAGGCTGCAAATCGAACGGCAGAGGATGTTCTAGCCGAAACTTAACTATAAACATGGCTGGAAAGCTCTACATGCGAACCTGGGACTTCCATTGTATCTGCGGTGGAGTATTTTTCCGTGGGACGTTAGTCAGCCAGATGTGAGACAATCAATGGGCGCCGCTGACCGTCGCCGCTGAGGAGTGGCCCCGAGCCGGCCGTCACAGCTCGGCCACCTCCCGAGGCCCGCCTGCGCTGCCCGGCCGGCCGCCACCTCACTCACTCACTCTCCCGCCCCCTGGTTTTGCTCATGGTCACCCCGATCTGAGGAACCCTCTCTAGGACCGAGTCCCCGAATGCACGAAGAAACCGAATCTCACCTTCTCCAACCGAATCCTCTCTCCACACGCAAGGTCTAGCTCATTTTCGATCAGAATCAGGTCCTCGGCCGTCACCTTCCACTGGTGGCTGGCGAAGTGCACCACGGCAAAGAGCCGGCCGTATTGGCCCGTGGCGATCAGCTCATTCACCTTCCGCACGACCTCTGCGGGGAGGAGGCCACGGGCATCACCACAGGGGAAAGGCAGCGGCGACGCCTCCACACGGCCCCAGGGACTTCATTATATACCCGCCCCTGCGCTCCTGCAGAGGTGTGATGGGGTAGAGGAGGGGGCGCCCAGTGGTGTGGTCGCAAGGCGGGTGACAGCTGGTGGCCGAGCCTCGCGCTCCCCACTGCAGGCACAGGCGCCTGGGCACGGGGTCCCCTGCTGTCCCAGGAGCACAGCAGCTTGGCATGCAGGGCACACGGGCTCTGATAGATGAAGCTCCCCATGCTCGCTTCCCAGGACGCCCTGCCTCCCGCCATTCTCTGGCCTGAGCGCACAGCGTGCCTGCCTCGGTTCTCAGACTCTGGGTGGAAACTTACACCCTGTTTGGTTCCCGATTGTTATTAATAAAGAGCTGGGGCCGGGAAGGGTGCCAACCCTGAACGGGAGAGCAGGCCTTTCTGCAAACAAGGGAAACCCGGAACGACACCCTGCACGCCTCCTGCACGGCTGCCTGCTTCCCGCTTCTGTGGTCACCGCCTCTGCTCAGGTCACGACCCTCTGTCCTCTGACCGTTTACTGTCTGAGCAGCGGCTGTGAGCCCCGACCCGCCGGCCTCGCCTCGGGCTGGTGCAGGCGCGGAGCCCACACAGTTCCCGCCCTGGAGACAGTCCCAGCAGGGGCTGAATGAGGCCAAGGGGCCGGGACCCAGACTGCGCCTTACTTCTCTCTAAGTCTCCAAAACAGTGTTTAGAACTAGAGGATTCCAGCCCTGGCTGGTTTGGCCCAGTGAATCGAGTATCAGTCTTTGGGCTGAAGGGTCCCAGGTTCAATTCCGGTCAAGGGCACATGCCTGGGTTGCGGGCTGGATCCTCAGTGAGGGGGTGGGAAGGAGGCAGCTGATCAATGATTCTCTCTCATCATTGATGTTTCTGTCTCTCTCTCCCTCTCCCTTCCTCTCTGAAATCAATAAAAATATGTTTAAAAAAAACAACTAAGTGACTCCATGCATTAAGGTGGACTCCAGCTTTTTTGGAAAACTGAGGATCCCACACCCCCTCCTGGCAGCGGTGGCTGCGGTGACAGGTGCTCCAGGTTGGCATGCCCCTGACACCCTGGCGGCTTCTCCAACAGCCAGGCCGGGGCCGGCGGCCACTGGCTGTCGCGCAGCTTCTCTTCCATGTGGGGAGAAACCTGTCCCAAACTCACGTTTCTCCCAACAGCGGGAAGACAGATGGGCAAGCGCCTTCCCTCCCCAACGCCACTGCTTTGAACACGGCAGGTGCGCAGGGGTCTCCGCTGAGTGAGCGGCTCTCGAGTCTGCTGCTTGGTGGCCAGTGAGGCAGAGGCTCCCTGTGCGGGTCTGGCGCACGGAGAGCCGACACCCGGCTCCACGGCCAGGTGACCGCCTATGGGAGGGTGCTGCCCGCCTCTGCCCCTTCCTTACCTGCGTGGTGTCTGGTCTCCTCGGCGGGGTCTGGCAGAACGACTTCAGGCCAAGGGGGTGAACTCAGGGATGTCTTAGGAACGTATCTGTGAAAAACATTTTATACACACGTCACATGTGTGAAAAGGCAGGTCAAAATCGTAAGACATGGCTGTGTGCAACTGCCGGTCACGCCTGCACCCCCTCTCCACCGGGATGCCAGCTAGCTCCTCGTAAGCAGGGGTATACACTGTTGTCCGTTCATTATGGGTGCATCCCCACCCTGGACCAGTGTCTGACCCGTAACAGGCACTCGTGAAAGATGAATGAAACCTTCTCTGCTCGGTGAAATGAAGGCCCGGCTCGGCCTCAAACCCCAGCACCAAGTGCCTGTAGGTTCAGCTCCTGCTCTGTGCCCAGTGCCGGCGCCTCCAAGACGGCCCGCTGAGCCTCCCCTGCGAGACTGGTGCGGCGGCGGCCGCGATGTGTGAGTGCCCTACTGTCCACCAGGCTCTGTCCACTCCCTTTAAATGTAGGGTTTACTTAGTCTCATAACACGCCACTGAGCTACACACCCACAACCCACTCTGCGGACCAGGAGGCACATAATAGATGGACGGCCTCGCTCTGGACGCAGGGCCGGGCAGGCCGGGGGCTTCCCACGCGTACCCGCCACCCTGTCCTGCTTTTGTCTGTGTACACCCACCAGCCAGGGGACTTTGCCAAATCTACCTTCTGTAGTTCACAGTGCAGTTTCTTCCCTAAGTATGACATTTAACACGGAATTTGCTGTTTCAAATTCCACAGGTTCCTCCCAGAGGTTCTGACCCAACATGCCTGGGTGCAACCTTCCGGTTAGAAACCTCCCAGTGGGAGCTACAACTTCCCCTTGGTAACTAGCGCGATGGAAGGCTAGGACACCTTGCTCTGTGGACTCTTGACGTCCTGTCTATATTTATTTATGTCAAGGGTCTGAGAAAATACTGTCAAAAAAGTTAGAAAACAGAAATATTCCTAAAAACCCAAACGTCTGAAGTTTTGTGTCAGAAAGATGGTGAAAGGAAGAGTCACCCAAACCCTCGTCGACATTACCCTTGTGGACGCGAGGTGCCCTGCGACTGGAACCTTCGAGAAGCAGACCACAGGGAGGCTGGGGAGTAAGCGAAACAGGGGCAGTTACTCCCGTGAAATGCAAACCTCCCTTGAAGACACTAAACGCACAGCTGTCGCTGGTATCGCCTTAAACTGCATCCAACTTGTCTACAGAAAATCGAGGTCGACAAAGCTCAGAGAACATCACGGGCAGTCACTGGTTATTACCATAAGCATCGCGATCCATTCATCACACCACCCGCCCATTAACCACTCCTGACCCCCAGGTGCCCGGGAGGTTCAGACCCTGTTCTGTGCCAGGTGCGGGAGCCTCAGGATGGCCCTGCTGAGCCGGCCTCCGGGTATGCTCACCCCATTGTCCCCCCATATGGAGCTGGTGTCCGTGACCGATGGCATGAGACTGAGGTGCTGGAATAGCTGAGCCCCCCCGGCCAGGGCATCCCAGTATTTTGCGGAGACTCTCCAAGAGCTTCCATTTTATTAGAGAAAAGGCAAAAGCCCTTACCGGGGCCCGCAGGGCGGCGGCAGTGCCATCCCCTCTCAACACGCTTCCCCTTGTTCCCTGGCACCTGCCTCCCTGCTCTTCCTGGACCACGCCAGGCACGCACCCGCCTGGAGGCCTGTGTGTTGACTGCTCTTTCCCTGAACCCGTCCCCGCTCAGGGACCTACCAGGCCAATTCCCTCATTTCTTCTGGGTCTCCACTGAAACGCCACCTCCGTGGAGAGGCCTTTCCCAACCGTCCTGTGCAAACGGAACCCCTCCCTCCCAAGACTCACCAGCTGGTAACACAGTCTGCCATTTGCTTATTTAAAGAGCCTGTCTGCGCACCCCTCTCACAGAATGCTGCCAGCCCCCTTAGAAGCAGGGCTGTCGTCTGTTTATTATGGGTGCATCCCCACCCGGGACCAGTGTTTGACACGTAACAGGTTCTCAAGGATGAATGAAATCTGCTCTGCCCAGCCATCAAATGAAGCTCTTGGCCCGGCCGGTGTGGCTCAGTGGTTGAGTGTCGACCTATGAACCAGGAGGTCATGGCTCCATTCCCAGTCAGGGCACATGTCCTGGTTGCAGGCTCAATCCCCAGTGTGGGGCATGCAGGAGGCGGCCAACTGATGATTCTCTCTCATCATTGATGTTTCTATCCCTTTCTCCCTCTCCCTTCCTCTCTGAATTAATTAATTAATTAATTAAAAAAAAAAAATGAAGCCGCTGTTGTAACTCTCTGTGACTGGAAATTCAGCACCTCTCTTTCGAGCCACCCCACCGTTCTCAGCTCAGAAGGTTTCTGTACCTCTTGCCTATGGTCTTAGCTTAGCCTTGCGACCCCCCCCTCCCCCCCGGGAAAAAGTGGTCCCTTGTCTATCACAGAACCGCCCTTTATGGCTCTGAGGACTGAGACTGGTCCTTCCTTTCTGTTTTCTTCACTCACTCTTTACGGTCCCATCTGCTCACCGTTTCGGTCACTTTCTCTGTACTCACTACACTTCGTGATTCTCCCTTAAAGAGCTGAGTCTGGAACTGAACACAGCATTCTAGCGGTGGTTTTACGTCAGCAGAATAGAGGAAGTCCCACTGCTTGTGTAAACACTTCCCTGCCTACTTCAACCCACGTTTTTTATGGAAAATGTTGTGCACAACACTGAGCCCTCAGCTACCCCTCCCCAGAGTCAACAGATATCAACTCATGACTAATCTTGTTTGATGTACATGGCCTCTTGCCCAATTCTGCAATTAGTTTAAAGCAAATCAGACATCGTTTTATCTGTGAAGATGTCATGTTTCTATGTGTGCTATAGAAAAAGGGGTGCGATAGTAAATCATAAATTCCTAACTGGCCAGGTTATGGTGGGTAGCACACCATGACCGCCCAGGCCTATCACTTCCTTAGGGAAAGGTTTTAAGCAAGGCCTGCCCATTGTTTCTGTTCTTCTAGGTTACACACTTTGAAAGCCAGAAGTAATACTCCTCGAAGGCATAACCACCCTCAAAAAAGCACACAGCCTCATGACCCAATTCCTGCCTTGCCTTCTCCCACCTTTATGTTCCTTTCCTCCTTAAGTCCAAATGCATAAAAGAAACTGCAAAACTGTTATTCTCCAGAGTACTTGAGATCTTGCTGCCTGGCAATTGCCGTTTTGGCTCAAATCCTATATAATCCTATATAACAAAACCCTAATATGCAAATCGACCCAATGGCGGAACAACGAGTCGCTATGACCCGCACTGACCACCAGGGGGCAGATGCTCAGAGCAGGGCTGCCTCCTGGTGGTCAGTGCACTCCCTCCCACAGGGGAGTTTCCCTCAGCCAGAAGCTGGGCTCACGGCTGGCGAGCACAGCAGCTGCAGGCAGGCGGTAAGGAGCAGGGGTCGGGGCTGCGAGAGGGCGCAGGCTGGGCTGAGGGACCCTCCCCCCCCGCCCCCACCTCCAGTGCACGAATCGCATGCACTGGGCCTCTAGTAAACTTATAATGAAAATTCTCTACAGGTTTGGACATTTCTTATGTCGACACACCAAAGACAAGTCGACATGCAAAAGATGATTATTTAAAAAACAAAACAACATAAGTATGGCATCTAAAAAAGGCAAAATTCTTTAAAATTGTCATATATACATCTAGGTCAACTTAGAAACATACATAAGCACTCCTGCATGCAAACACACACTCCAACCATTTTCAGGCCGAACAGAACCTTTTTGGAGCTTCATAACCCAGTGACTAACACACCGCTACGTTTTTGCTGAATGGGTTAAGATCAGGCAAGGGCACTCATCACCGTTTTTCCAGATGAGGTCGATGATGCTCAGAGAGTGGCTCGCAGCCCAGGGTAATAATGGCAAAGCACGGGTTTTGCAGCGGGAGCGCGCCGGCCGAATCGCCCCTCCCCTTCCCTGCCGAGTGACCTTGGGCAGCTGCCTAACCTCGCTGCCCCTCACTGTGCTCCCCACGAACACAGGCCCATACAGGAGTGGGAGAGCGATCCTCAATGGTTAAGCCACTAACTAAAGAACCAGGATCTGAACCTCGGTTTCCCCAACTCCAAAGCCGGTGTTACCCAAAAAAGGCGCTCAGCACCGAAGGCATCAGGTCGGACTCACACACACACACACACACACACACACGGCGGGGTGGCGGGAAGCACCGTTGCCCCACTTCCTCCCTTCACCCGCGGCCCTGGCCTCACCCGCTCCGGGCCCCGAAGGTCTGAGGATGCTACGGCCGCACGTGGACACCAGCCGCCCGAAGGCGACCGGCAGGGCCGAGGCCGCCACGGCCGCCGCCATTTTCGACCGGAAGCGGAAGTGGAGGCGCCGCGAACCTGGTGCGTCGACGCACCGGGCCCGGCGGGGAACATCTTCCCGCGCGGCGACGGGACCTCGGCGGCTCCGGCACGGGTCGCGCGGCGGCGGCGATGGCCTCGGCGGCCGTGGAAACCTTCGTGGCCAAGCAGTTGGACCTGCTGGAGCTGGAGAGGGACGCGGAGGTGGAGGAGCGCAGGTACGGCCGCCGGCTCTCCTCTCGGGGCCGGCCCGGCAGCTCCCCAGCCTTGACCTGCTCAGACCCAGGCGGACCCTCCGGGGCCCGGTCGCCCCCAGAGGTGGAAACCTCGTCGCCTCCCTGGGCGGCCCGTTCTGGTTATGGACCCTTTCGTTTTTCGGTCCGAAGTCCCCCTCCCCGAACGCTCATTCCGAGATCCTGCCTCTGCCCAATTCCACCCCCAGCGCCTGCCCAGCCCTCTCCCCCATCCGTCCGCGCTGTCAGGGTTGGCACCTGTGTGTGCCCGGCCCGTCAGGAGAGCGGTTGGCACTGGGCGCCTGGGTGTGAGCGCCGGAGGTGGGCAGAAGCCTAGGCAGCCCCCTTCCAGCGTGACAAGTGCCGATGCGGCCGCCGGTGCGCGGAGTGGGCGGGAAACCCCGAGCCGGGGCGGGCGCGAGGGGTGCTTCGGGGAGGAGGCGGGGCGCCAGGGAAATGGGGGCGCAGGTGACCCGCGGGGGGAGCCGGACCGGGAGAGCCGGCCTGAGTCTGCACAGGAATAGGCGCGCACTGATGGAGGCTGTAAACCCCTCCTCCCGCCGCCAGCTCCCCCAACCCTCAGACCAAGCCTACGAAGCCCGTTACTGTTATTCCCATGTCGGAGGAGCTGAGGGGAGCGGTTAAGGAACGTGCCCCCCGTCACGCAGGCGGAGTGAGGACCTGATCCCAGAGCTTACACCCCACGCTGCAGTGTATGCCTGGATGGGGTTTGCTTGAGAGGTGTTGACCATAACAGTTAAGAGCTTTTGGAGAATCCCGGCTCCTTCATGTAGGGCTGTGTCGCTTTGCAGGTTGTATCTCTGAGCCTTCGTTAGCTTATCTGTAAAATGGGATCATTCCCATCTCTCACGTTTGCCGAGAGAATGAAATGATTTTATTAAAAGTCAAGTGCTCAGCATGGTCCCAAGTGCAGAGTAAGCACCTGTGGGAAGGTAAATGGGCTTCAGGTTGAGAAGGGCCCTGCCGAGGAGCTTGTATGATATCCTGGTGCAGAGGATGGCTTCCATTGAAGTTAAGCGGGTTGGGAGGGACGGTGAATAGATTTGCATTTTAGGAGGATCACTTGGGTGCTGAGAGCTTTTTTGTTTTGTTTTTTTGTTGTTGTTTTTTAGAGAGAGTGGAAGGAGGGGGAGAGACAGAGAGAAACATCGATGTGAGAGACACATTGATTGGTTGTCTCCTGCTTGCACTTGACCGGATATGGGGTGGAGCCTGCAACCCAGGTACCTGCCCTTGACCGAATCGAACCCGGAACCCTTCAGTCCGCAGGCTGACGCTCTCCCCACTGAGCCAAACCGGCAAGGGCCAGGAAGCTCTGTTTAATCCAGGCTGCCAGGGATGTGGGCTTGAATCTGAGTCAGGGCTCTGGAGGGGAGAGGGAGAGGGAGAGGTGGGTCCAGGCTGTAAACAGGAAGGGCCCCATAGGACTCAGTGACTTGAACCAGGATGGGGGAGAGAGTAGAGAAGGGGAAGGTGGCCGGAGGTTCTGACCCAGGTGACTGGGAGAAAGGCCGCGTCATGAACTGCCCGCGGGGAGCCAGGAGGGGGCAGGCTGAGAGGGGCAGAGCCAGAATTGCGCCGGCTCGTGTTCGGCGCCTGTGTCAGCTCTTTACGCCCCCCCCCCCCCTTTCCATTTCTCCTGCACGGGTGGAAATGAACACTGGTGAGTGCAAAGATTAACGTTTACCCTGGTGTCTTCCAGGTCCTGGCAGGAAAACGTCTCTCTGAAGGAACTCCAGCGCCGCGGGGTCTGTCTGCTGAAGCTGCAGGCGTCCAGCCAGCGGACCGGGCTGTACGGGCAGCTGCTGGTCACCTTCGAGCCCCCGAGATGCGCGTCTGCAGGAGTGCTTCCCAGTAACAGCTTTTCCTCCGGTCTGTGCGTTTCTGACGTAGGCGCATAACTGAGTGTGACCAGCCTCACACTGGGCGTTTTGCGTAAGGAGGCCGAGAGGGAGAGGTTCCGTGACCTGCCCCGCCTCACACAGGGAGAGTCAGGCCCTGAGGCCAGCGTTTGTTTTCATGTGGCCAGTTGCCATGGGCTGCCATGACCAGGGCGAAGGGGATTGCTAAGTGTCTTTCAGGAGTCATTGAGCAGGACCTGTCTGTGCAGGTGGCTTGGAAACTCTGGAAACGCAAAAGTAAAAATGTGCGTTCAGCTAATGAGCCCTGTGGAGTTACGGCCTCGGAGACCGATGGCTCCTCGACTAACAGGAAGCCAGAGGAGGCGGCATTTATGTTGAAAAGTAACCTGCTCAGAATTTGGTGTGTTGCCGTGCTGGGGTCCAACCCCAGCAGGTCCAGGGGTCCCCAAAGGTGTGGACGGAGTTAGTGAAGAAGGAATGACACGGAGAGGGCGTTCAGATGATCATCATAGCAAGGTTCTCTAGCCACGTTCTGGTCAGGATCTCCAGTGAAGTTCTGGTTAGGATCTCCAGCCAGGTTCTGTGTCCATGTTCTCTTGCTAGGTTCTCCAGGTTCTCCAGCCAGGTTCTATAGCCAAGTTCCCTCGCTAGGTTCTCCAGCCAGGTTCTGTCCAGGTTCTCCAGCCAGGTTCAGTTACCAGGTTCTAGTCAGGTTCTCTTGCCAATTTCTGTAGTCAGGTTCAGTCCAGGATCTTTTGCCATGTTCTCTCGCTAGGTTCTGTCTCTAGGTTCTGAGGCCAGTTTCTGTCCAGGATCTTTTGCCATGTTCTCTCCAGCGAAGTTCTTCTGTCTCTAGAGAACGTTCTGTGTAGGTTCTGTGCCTAGGTTCCGTCTCTCTTGGTTCCGTATTCTAAGTTCTGTGTCTTACTGTCTTATTACATCTGTATTTATACCAGTTGATTCAATCCTATCAATCTCTATTCCAAAGGTTAGGGCGTTTCTTATCTCCATTCCAGGGAGTAAAGATTATGTAGCTTAAGCATGATTGTTCATAGTTAAAGTGATTAATTACCCACCTGGCACTAGTTAAGAGGTTTTATTCCCTCCCTAACTTCAGGGGAAAATCCCTACCTGGGGAAACAACCTTTCTCAGAGACCTTGGTTAAAACACATAGTGCCAAGAAGGTGAGCAAACATATTAAGAACAGTATGCCATATACGCCAGGTCCCTTGAAACAGCAAGCGTGGACCGGCTCCCAGCATTGCCGCAGCCATGGACAGAGTCAGGTGGAGCTGTTTCTTCTGAGGAGCAGTTTTGAGGCTCAGTAGCTTAGAGATGCATTCGGAAACATGAGATCCTATTCGGAGCACTCGTGGGGCAGTCCCCAGGGGAGCTCCCCATGGCGAGCCCCATGTATAGAACTTGACCTCTGCCCCAGGGGTACTGTTGCCACCTGATGTTTCTCTTTAAAAGTTGGGGAAGGAGGCAGAGAAAAGATTCAAGGTGCAGACAAAACTCTTTGCTTACAAGACGAACCCCTAGGACCAAGAACAGGCCTGGCTCATGCCTGGCACACTCTTGCAGACGTGGATAAGTAGGGTGTAAATGTGCGGGTGGCCCTGGCTTTATCTCAGAGTGGATTCTGTTTCGGTCAGAACTGTGGTCAAGTGACAGAACCCAAGCCAGACGGGCTTGGGCAAGAAGGCCTGTGCTGAAGGACCCCGGCAGGGTGGGCGTCAGGGCTCCAAGGAGGTCGCGGGGCCGAGCCTCCCTCCATTTCTTGGCTTTGCCCTCTTCTGGGTCGGCTTCCTTCTCAGGCGCCACCGGGGGGGGGGCCGTGCTAGCCCTACGCCCTCTGAGGGTCCTGGTCTAGCTGGAGAGAGGGAGGACCGCTGTCCCGGTGCCCAAGTAAAGGCTCGCTGTGTCTCGGGCTCTGATTGGGTCCCATGCCCATCCCTGAACAGTCAGATGGCCGGGGTGTGTGAAGCCCTGATTGGCTCAGGCACGGGTCACACACTCTGCATCCCCAGGTGCTGAATCACCAAACAGGTTTCACAGGATGTGGGAGATCCCTGCGGAGTGGGCAGCAGATACACACTGTCCCTCTTTCAATGGTCTTCTCCCCCAGAGGTGCTCGTGGCCCCCACTTCATCCAGGGCCCCCACCTGTCACCACTCACCACTCAGGGAGGCCCTTACCCCACAGTCTTGCTAGGACGGTGCCTGCATCCCTCCCGTGCCCTCCCTGAGCTTCATGTTTCCTTAGGCCCCTGGCACTGGCTGACAAGAGGCTGTATTGGTCCCTCCCCCCTGAGGGCGGTCGGTCCTGTCTGTTTTAAACAGTTCATTGACCTCACGTGTGTGATTTAGATGTTAACTGTTTATTTTTTAAAGAAAGTAACAGGATGTTTGAGATATACTGGGACTTATGGAATAAAATAGTCCACATTTAACTTTGCCCGATGTTTACATCACTGAGTCTTTGTTTCGCAGGTGATATTGTGGGTCTGAATGATGAAGGAGGTCAGCTGGCCACTGGGGTGCTGACCCGGATCACCCAGAAATCGGTCACAGTGGCCTTTGACCAGTCCTGTGATTCCCAGTTGAGCTTCGACCAACAGAATTCCTACCGACTGTTAAAACTTGCCAATGACGTCACTTACAAGCGCCTGAAGAAGTAAGCATGTGCCTGGACCACACATGTAACGTTTTCCTTAAACACGGCTCGCTCAGCCGACCACGCTTGGGCTGGGCGGAGAGCAGTGGGCTCGGGCTGGGCTTGTCCGTGCGCCGTCTCCGGAGCTGGGGCTGCAGTGGAGGGGGGCGGGGCTCCTCCCTGACTTCACGCTGGTTCTCCCTGACCCCTCTCCTGGGTTTTCTCCCGGGCAGAGCCCTGATCGCCCTGAAGAAGTACCATGCCGGCCCTGCGTTCTCGCTCATAGAGGTCCTCTTCGGGGACGCAGCCCCCAGTCCTGCCGGTGACACACGTAAGAACTTGCGCTTTTTCTCTTCTGGTGGAAACCACGATGGAAACTGGCGGGTGACGGACGTGGCCGTGGGGCCATTTTGTCAACAGTTTGAGGAGGTACAGGTAGAAGAAATCACCTTAATTTCTTCAGATAAGTTCCTGGGAATGACTTGAGCTGGGCTCAGCGTCGGAGAAAGCTCCTTCCTTCGCTTTTCTAGGTTCTCTCTGGCCCCGGCTGCATTTCGCGCTGGCGGTGTTCCTTCCGGCCTGGTGCCCTGAAGTCGGTGGCAGCTAGTCACGCTGGAGGTCCCCCCCACCCCTGCTTGAGAGCAGTGCTTTTGGTGCGAAAGGCTCACGGGGCTGTTTCCTCAGCAGGCTGTAGACTCTGTAGGAGTGACCATGTGAGTCATGGAAAACTAGGGTATTCGGAAGCAGAGAAACGCAGTCAGTCACTCAGAAACCTGCCACTCGGATCGCCTCACAGCGCCTGTGTCTCATCTTCAACTCTTTTCCCACATCCACATCCGACTGTTTTACACACACACGCACGCACACACACACACGCACACACGCATTATTTGTTTCCCCCTTTGAAGGAGCGTGCCACGTCTTGATCATGGCTGACAGCTAAGGAGAAGGGCACAGTGTGGGGCGGTGGGATGTGCTTGGGCACTGAGGCTCCCCTGGCATCACTAACCCATTCAGATCAGCACCTGGGCCCGTGAGTTCACACGTCTCGGCGTTGCCACACCGTGGGGCGGGTGCCGTGGGAGCAGAGCTGGATACAGCGCTACCTGCTCCCGGAGCACAGGGCACACAGAGCAAGTAATCAGTGTGGCCGTGAAAGAGTCGGAGTAGGAACTCGATGCTGGAATTTGCTAGTACTCTTTCCTTTTCCTTTTTTTGTTTTTGCTTTTTGCTAGTACTCTTTTTCCTTTTTTCTTTTTTTTTTAAAAAAATATCTTTATTGATTTCAGAGAGGGAGAGGGAGAGGGAGAGAAACATGATGAGAGAGAGAATCATTGATTGCTGCCTCCTGCACGCCCACTACTGGGGTTCAAGCCCGAAACCCAGGCACGTGCCCTTGGCCGGAATCGAACCCGGGACCTTCTGTCTGCAGGCCGATGCTCTATCAACTGAGCCAAACAGGCTAAGGCTGTTTTATCCTTTATTTTTGTCATTTTCTGGGCACGGATAAAGGGACAATATGTTCCAAGAAACATTTACCTAGAAGAGTCTTATTCTGGAGCATGAGTGGTGAGGCTTTTCAGTAAAAGGACGGATGATCAACGTTGGGCTTTGCGGGCTGGGGCAGGAGCGAGCAGGCGTGGCGGCGTGGCTGGGTCCCAGGAGAGCCCGGCTCAGGGAGGCGGGCGGCAGGCTGGGTTTGGCCTGGTCTGCCGTCTGCTGCTCCCTGTTCCAGGGGAATCTTTTGAAAACAAAGCAGGTTGATTTTGTGTTGATCGGGTGCCTCCTGGGAAGTCGGGCTCCCTCCTGTGCCCGCAGAGCCGGCCCAACCCTGTCGCCTCTCCCGCAGGGGCGCCTACCTTCTACAACGCCGCCCTAGACGCCTCCCAGCAGGAAGCGGTTTCGTTTGCGCTGGCCCAGAAAGAACTGGCCATCATCCACGGGCCTCCTGGCACCGGGAAGACCACCACTGTGGTGGAGTTCATCCTCCAGGCTGTGAAGCAGGGCTGCAAGGTGGGCCGGGCGCTCCCCGCAGCACTGCCCCGCCCAGGAGGGAGGGACGGGTCAGGACGTCCCTGACCTTAGCTGAGCACTGGTGGGCCCTTTCTGGTTCCTGACAGCGAGTGGGACACGGGATGTGCCCTGGGCCACCTCGATGGGGTGGCGGTGCCAGGACATGGGGGAGGCCTGGGCCCCTGTTCTTGGCGCTGACAGAAGAGGGACTCTCCTCTCCGCCGCCACCTGTAACGGTGGGACTGCTGTTCTGGAAGCAAGGCTGAGCCATTCAGAGCTCCCCTGTCCACTCGTCGGGTGATAGCGTAACGTGATTGGTGATGAGACGGCGCCCCAGCTGGGTTATGTCAGGGCCTATGAGCCTGTTCTTTTTTTTTTTAATATATTTTATTGATTTTTTACAGAGAGGAAGGGAGAGGGATAGAGAGTTAGAAACATCGATGAGAGAGAAACATCGATCAGCTGCCTCCAGCACACCCCCTACTGGGGATGTGCCCACAACCAAGGTACATGCCCTTGACCGGAATCGAACCTGGGACCCTTGAGTCCGCAGACCGACGCTCTATCCACTGAGCCAAACCGGTCAGGGCTATGAGCCCGTTCTTCCCAGTTACCAGTCTCTGCACGTCTGGTGCTCTGGGGACCAGTGGGTTCTCCAGCCCAAGTTCTCGTTATCCAGACACTGACAGTTTGCAGTGATGTGTCCCCGTCCCCGCAGCTGCAGTTCACACCTTAGCATCATGGCGCCCACACTGCACCCTCTCTCCTCTCCGTAAGGCTTTCTGTTTGCTTCAGTGTAAACTGAGGTGGTTTCCTTAAACACGGAATCCCCAAACCCGACCTTGAGCTTTGCGCCCCAGGTTCTGTGCTGCGCGCCCTCCAACATCGCCGTGGACAACCTAGTGGAGCGCCTGGCGCGAAGCGGGCGACGGGCGCTGCGCCTCGGGCACCCTGCCCGGCTCCTGGAGTCCATCCAGCAGCACTCGCTGGACGCGGTGTTGGCGCGCAGCGACGGCGCCCAGATCGTGGCCGACATCAGGAGGGACATCGACCAGGTCTCCGTACGTATGTCTCAGCTGGGCTTCACTCACGGCGGTTTTCAGTCAGAGGTGGCATTTCCTCATGGCCTCGGTGCTGCAGCTTTGTGGGTCTCCAGCTCCCGCGTGTGCCCTGGTTTCCTGAAATGTCCCACCCTGTGTGTGCTCCCCATGCTCGGGGCTCCCCGGGCCGGTGCTTTGAGTCAGCCTTTCCCACGGGGCAGCGGATGGCGCAGGGCCCAGCGTGGGGACAGCAGGGCGGGGACAGGACCCGCAGTCCCTCCTCACGGGAGGCGTGCAGGGGTCTGCCGTGCTGGCGCTCCGTCACAAGCGCGCAGGAGGGCCTGGCCCTGCTCCTGCCTAAATCATGCTGTCTGCTCGGAGCTGGGCACCGAGGCCCTCCTGTCACTGCCGCTGGACCCTGTCCTCCAGAGCGGACATCACAGGGCAGGACGGGTGACGTCTCTTTAATCCTCACCTGAGGATGTTTTTCCACTGGGAAGGCAGGAGAGAAACATCAACGTGAGAGAGACACATGGATTGGTTGCCTCCCAAACGCACCCCATCTGGAGCCTGGGGTTGAACCTGCAACTGAGGCATGTGCCATTGGCCGGGAATCGGACCCTTGACCCTTTGTGCTGCAGGCCGGTGCCCTAACCATTGAGCACCCGGCCAGGGCAGGGGTTACAGCTCTTTTTTAGTATTAAAGTAAGTTGGGGTTTATGTGGCCATTTTATGGGCTAATCAAAACATTTTTAAATCTCTTGACAAATGTGGAATAAAAAGTGAAGCTCAGCCCCTCTGTGCGCTGCGAAAGCCCGGCCCTGAGTGGCAGGTGCCTGTCAGTGACTGGGGGCGGGGCTGGGCTCACCGTTACAGCGCCTCTGCTTCGAGGATCCGGCCGGCCTGTCTGCCTCTCCCTGTGCACGACACTGGCTCTGAGGCCAGGCAGGGTCAGGTGCTTGGTCACCTGCATGTGTCTGTTGCTCCTTCAAGAAAGAGTTTGACTTCATTGCCTTTTAAGGAACTTAGTGAGGTGGACAAGTGATTATAAATAAAAGCAGTTTGTGAACTAAAAAGAGCTAAATAAGTGCAAAGTTGTGTCCGAGTGGTTATATTTTCTGCCTGGCTGGTGTAGTGCTTGGCACATGAACCGGGAGTTCACAGGTGGGTTGCCAGTCAGGGCACATGCCCGGGTTGTGGGCTCGGTCCCCAGGAGGGGGCGTGCAGGAGGCAGCCGACCCATGATTCTCTCTCATCATTGATGTTTCTAAGTCCCCCTGTCCCTTCCTCTCTCTGAAATCAATTAAAAAGAAGGATTATGCTTTCTTTGCCTTCATTTGTAGGTGAAAATTAGAAAGACCCAGGATAAGAGAGAGAAAAGTACTTTTCAAAATGAAATCAGGCTGCTAAGGAAGGAGCTGAAGGCGAGGGAAGAGGCCGCGATGCTGGAAAGCCTCCGGGCGGCCGACGTGGTCCTGGCCACAAACACAGGTGAGGAGGGCGTGTCTCCGCCCGGCCCCTGGGCCTCAGGTGTCCCCCTCTGAGTTTCCTGGAGCCGTTTGTGTAGGGCGGTCCCCCTGCCGGGTGGAATTCACCAGGAAGCCTTCTGGGCTTGGAGTTTTCGCTGCGGGGAGGTTTTTAACTGCACATGGGATTTCTTTAACTGACACGGGACTATATTCAGGTTAGCTCTTAAGTGAACTGGTATCTTTGAAGGAGTTGATCCATTTAACCTAAGTTGTTGAGTTTATTCGCGTGATGTTCATAATATCATCTTATTATCTTAAAGGTGAGGAGCCGGCTCCGGGGGGGCGGGGGGGGGCTTGCTCAGGCCCCTGGCGGTTGGGAGCGTCTCTCAGGCCAGGTCTGCGCGCTGAGCTCTCGCGGGGATGCGGGCGGGGGAGCTGGTGCGCTGTTCTGTGTGGTTGGACTCGTGGAGGTTTTGTCCCTGGGTGTCGACTCAGCAGCTAATTGTTCTGAAAAGACTTTAGAGGAGGATTAGTTACATTTTAAATTCAGAAAATGATGCAGGAACGTTTATAAATAAGACGGCCATCTGAGGACTTGGGTCGCAGCCCCGAAGGGGTGATGGGTTTTGGTGATTGAGGCGTCGGAGTGGCCCATGGCTGGGGACACACCGCCTCACGGGTGAACGCAGGGCAGGCACTACGGGCCTTTGACGTCCTCACCAAGTTGTTATTCTGGGCTGCACATTTGTTAGTCTTAACGTGAGGCTGGATTGTGGAGCCGCGGGCCTGTTGGCGCCCTGGCAGCTGCTCTCACACGGCCTGTGCCCCTGTAAAGCCCGTGGCTCCGATCTCCACCAGGCGCTTCTCCCGACGGGCCCCTGAAGCTGCTGCCCGACGGCTACTTCGACGTGGTGGTCATCGACGAGTGCGCCCAGGCCCTGGAAGCCAGCTGCTGGGTCCCCCTGCTGAAGGCCAGGAAGTGCGTCCTGGCCGGGGACCACAAGCAGCTGCCCCCCACCATCGTCTCTCCCAAGTAAGCCCTCTGCCGAGCGCCTTGGCCCCTCCCGGTCACCCTTTGCTCTGTCCCCCGAGGGCTGGCCCAGAAGTCGCGGCTCACAGGAGGCCCGGGGTGAGCCGCCCCCACACTTGCTCATTTAGACGTCGCGCCTCAGCCTGTGCTCCTGGAGGCCAGGGCTTGTGTCAGTGGTCCCTGTGGCCTTGGAACTTGGCCCTGTGCTTGGATTGAACACCCCGACGGGCCACGGGGTGGATGTCCATGCTCACCCGCTTCTGTGGGCTGTGCTGACTGCCCTCGGGGTGGGTTAGTACCCGGCCCAGCGTGGATCCCGAGGCCTGGTCTGTAGGCACCTCCTTCCATGGGGACACCTTCCAGGCCTGCCCGCTGTGGGCACAGTGTCATCCCCCCGCACCCCTGAGCACCAGCTCCCGTGGCCCTCCCATCGTCACGCCACAGCGGAGTGGCCTCTGTGGGCTGACTGACTGAGGACACTGGGCCCGCAGGCTGGTCCACGGCCAGCTCCCGCCTCGGACCCCTCGCTTCACCACATCTGCACGGTGCCCTGCCGCGTTCTCGCAGGGCCCAGGGTTAGGAGGTGGCGTCTTCGGAGGCTGTTATTCAGCCGACCACACCTTAGTTCTTGGTCAGAACTGGGGAGCGAGTCGGGTTCGAGGTTGGAGGGCAGCTTCTTCCCTGGGCCCTGGTCTCACGCTGGACTCCGGGTTTGGCCTCCCTCCCGCTTCCTCTCTCGGTGCAGAGCTGCGCTGGCGGGACTGTCGCTGAGCCTGATGGAGCGCCTGGCCCAGGGGTGCTGCGCGGGGGCAGTGCGGACGCTGACGGTGCAGTACCGCATGCACCGGGCCATCATGCAGTGGGCCTCGGAGGCCCTGTACCGCGGGCAGCTCACGGCACACCCTTCCGTGGCAGAGCACCTCCTGCGGTGAGTGGTGTGGCCACGTCCGTGTCCTGACGGAGCCCCGAGCCACCGAGGGGTCCGCAGGTTTTAAGGAAGCGTCTCCTCCAAGACCAGTTTCTGGGAAGGAGAGTGGACTTGGGGGTCCCAGTCTGACTTGCTTCCGTCCATCGTGGTGCCCGTGGGTGGTACCGTCTTCCCGAGGGCGGGGCAGCGCTGAGGGCGACATGCGGTTCTGCTTTTAGGGCCTCCGCGCCGGGGCCTTACGTTCAGTCTCCCCCTGTGCAGGGACCTCCCGGGAGTGGCTGCCACGGAGGAGACGGGCCTCCCCCTGCTGCTCGTGGACACGGCCGGCTGCGGGCTGTCCGAGCTGGAGGAGGAGGAGGACCAGTCCAAAGGGAACCCCGGTGAGCTCGGGAGGGAGGGAGGGTCAGCTTTTCAGTCTAAACCAGGGGTGGGCAAACTTTTTGACTCGAGGGCCACAATGGGTTCTTAAACTGGACCGGGGCCGGAACAAAAGCATGGATGGAGTGTTTGTGTGAACTAATATAAATTCAAAGTAAACATCATTACATAAAAGGGTACGGTCTTTTTTTTTTTTAGTTTTATTCATTTCAAACGGGCCGGGGCCGGCCCGCGGGCCGTAGTTTGCCCATGGCCGGCAGACCCCGGGCTCCTCCAAACACACACGTCCCTCTAGTTGCCAAATTGGGAGCGGAGGTGAGGGCAGCACCGAGGAGCCGTGGGCAGTTAGGAGCTGGAGGCTAAGCCTGAGTGTGTTTGATGCTCTTCTCCTTGAGCAAGAGATGCTCGCGGCAGCCGGGTCCGGGCCGATTCGAGGCAGCCACGGCCTGGGCAGCGTTTTATCTTCTTGTTCCAAGCAGAGTGGCCAGCGCTGCCTGGCTGGTCTTGGGATGAGGTCCTTGCTGAGCCCGCAGGATGTCCACTCGGTTCCACTCCAGGGCTGCCACTAACAGGACATGTGGCCCTGCTTACACTGAGAGAGTGCTTATTGTTTCTGGAATTCAGGTTGGCTGGGGGTCCTGCATTTTTTTTCATTTTTAAAATTTATTTTAGAGAGAATGGGAAGGAAAGGAGAGAGAGAGAGAGATTAATGTGAGAGAGAAACATCAATGGGTTGCCCCCTATACACATCCCAGCTGGGGATCCAACCCGCATCCCGGGCATGTGCCCTGACCGGGAATAGAACTGGTGACCTTTTGGTGCACAGATGACGCTCAATCCACTGGCCACCCAGTGGGCGCAGGATGCCCTGCATTTTTGTTTCTGAGTCTGGGGACCCTCCGACTCGGGTGTGGGCTCCCAGGGTGACCCAGATCAGCTGGCATAATAGAGGGAGAGCTGCTGGGAGAAGCAGCGCCGGCCTCGGTGTCAGCGTGCCCTGCCCTGGAAGCCCGCTCTCTGTGTCTACAGGGGAGGTGCGCCTCGTCAGCTTGCACGTCCAGGCTCTGGTGGACGCCGGCGTCCCGGCGAGCGACATTGCAGTCATCACGCCATACAACCTCCAGGTGCGAGCGCCCCTTTCTCTCCATGTGTCAGTGGGATCCAACTACCCCTCTGTGCTGGAAGGAAAAGGGCAGTTTATTGGTTCTTATGACTGAAAACTCCGGGCTGGAGTCAGCCACGTCACGTCTGGATTGAGGCTCAGATGACATCAGCAAGAGCCTCCATCCGTCCGTTTGTCCATCTCACTCACTCTGCCACCTCCTGCCTCATCCTGTCCTGACCTGTGCTGGCTTCTGTTTCCCCAGCTTTCCCATTGCCCTGGCAACCTCGGGGGATGTTGTCCTTACACAGGTAGCCCGGGAACAGCGGTCCTTTTGTGGCCTTTGCCACGAGAATCTCAGCTTCCCATCTCGATCTGGCTGTCCCCCTGCCCGAGCCAGTGCTGTGACCTGGAGCTGGGTCCTCGCCCGTCTCTGGGACCGGCTGGCCGGGCTTTCTGGAACCCGGGGGATGGGCGGGAGTGGGCGGTTTCTGAAGGGAAAGCAGGTGGTGAGTCAGCAGAATCGACGGCTGTTCCCTTCCCTTCGGGTGTCGGTGTTGGTGGGGGTGGGGGTCCTATCTGATGGGGGGGGGGATTTTGTTGGCTCTTTTGCATGCCTGTGAGGAGGGCCGTTGTGGAAACCAGGTCCCCGAGGTCGGGGCGGCTCTGCAGGCGAGGCCCTCTGCTGAGGGAAGGACAGCGTGTCTGAGCCGCCTGGGCCAGGGCTGTGCTGGGGCCTGGTCTGAGGCACGGTCTGCTTGGTGCTTCAGGTGGACCTGCTCCGACAGAGCCTTGCTCACAGGCACCCTGAGCTTGAAATCAAGTCGGTCGACGGCTTCCAAGGCCGAGAGAAGGAGGCGGTGGTGCTGTCCTTCGTCAGATCCAACAGGAAAGGTACGGAGCGCTCGCCAGTCCCAGAAGTGAGTCACGCACGCGGAGGGCTGGGTTTCCGGCCGTGCTGGTCCCCGGACAGTGAGCATGGAGTGCAGACTGTCCTGCGTGAGCTCAGTGTGAGGAGAGACTGAGCCGGCGGGGGTGGCGGGGGGCGGGGGGCGAGGTGTGACGAGGCCTCTAATGGGGACCCGCCGGGGCCCAGCGTGCACAGCAGGGAGAACGGAGCCAGGGGTGGGAACGGTGTTCCTGGCACAGAGAGCAGTATGGAGGCTTAGGGCCCGAGGATGCAGTTGGGGTGGGGGGCTGGGAGCCAGGCAGGCTGGGGGGCTGGACACTGCCCAGGAGGTGGAGCCCCCCAGGCTCAGAGCTCGTCTTATGTCCTTGAGGCTGATTCAGCCTCAGGGCACAGCATTGATGCCCATAGAGCTTGTGGAATTCCGTTTGGTAAGAAAGTTGTACCCAGAAACAGTGTTCTGGTTCATGGGCTTGGAAAAGCGTTTTCAGTGGAAGGTTGAAAACAGGTGGGAGGTGGGACAGCTGTGCTGGGAGAGAGAAGGTACTGGAATGGCCCTGCACTTCTCTCGTGTGTCAGCTGCAGCCCCGTCCATGCCCCCGCCTGTCACCTAGCTCTGGCTCGGGGAGGAGGAGTTGTACTTACTGAGAAATGAGTGACAGTCTGAGAGCCACCGCAGTATCAGTCGGGTGCCGTCTGCCATCCTGATGAGCTGTGTGAGCAGCAGGGTCAGCAGCCTGGCGTCACGGTGGGGCCTGAGGGCCTTGAGTCCGTGGGAGGCGGAGCCGGGAGGCCGCTGGTGTGAGCCTGGAGCTGGTCCTCCGTTGGGGTGCCTGCTGCTGAGAGGGCAGGAGAGCCCGCTCCTGTTCCTTAGGCTCAGATCTCGCCCGCTCACCCTGCCTCCTTACCAGGTGAAGTTGGTTTCCTTGCCGAGGACCGGCGGATCAACGTCGCCATCACCCGCGCTCGGCGCCACGTGGCCATCGTCTGCGACTCGCGCACGGTCAGCAACCACGCCTTCCTGAAGACGCTGGTGGATTACTTCACGGAGCACGGGGAGGTGCGCACGGCCTTTGAGTATCTTGATGACATTGTCCCTGAAAACTATTCCTACGAGAGTTCCCAGGGCCACGGCCAGGCCGGTGCGAAGCCCCAAGGCTCAGCCGGGTCCGCCAGGAAGCCTGGAAGCCGGCGGCCCGAGGGAGCTCGGGAGGCCAGAGCGACCGCCAGGCCGGTCCAGAAGGCGCCGCCCGGGAAGCCCGTGGGCTCTGAGGCCCAGTCTCAGCCCAGCCTCAACGGAGGCAGCCCAGGGGGGCCGGGGAGCAGGGACAGTGCGGACCACTTCCGGGCCCTGATCGCCGCGTTTGTGGCCAGTGAGCAAGTGCAGCTGGAGTTTCCTGCTTCCCTGAACTCACACGACAGGATGCGCATCCACCAGATAGCGGAGGAGCACGGGCTGAGGCACGACAGCTCCGGGGAAGGGAAGCACAGGTTCATAACCGTGAGCAAGAGGGCCCTGCCGGCCACAGCGGCCCCATCGGCTCCGCCAGTCCCACCCGTCCCGGCAGGGACTGACGGCAAAGCCCTTCTCCATCCCGAGCCCCCCAGCCCCGTGCAGACGGAGCCCCCCGGGCGAGAGCCGAGCAGCGTGGACCTGAGGGCTGTGCACCTGGAGCGACTGCAGAGGGAGAGGGCCAGGCAGGAGCCGCGAGCCAAGGAGGGCCCACGGGCTGCGGGCCCGGGGCTGCGGAAGTTACCAGAAAAGAAAAAGAAGAAAGATGCAAAAGGTGAGTCGGATCAGCTAATGAGAGCACAGGCGTGGTGTCCCCGTAACGGGGCTGTTTGCCCCACTAGAAGCGCACCTGCCGCCCTAAGGAAGAATCAGGACTTCTCCTGGCGGGGCCTGGTTCTGCGTTTTGCACCTTATGTTTAATGGGCTTGGAGTGAGCCCGAGGGTGGCGACTGGTCACAGTGACCCTCGCATACCCGGAGGCTTGCGCAGGGCCTGGCAGAGGGGTGCGCTCCCTGCAGGGGAGGGCCTGGAGGAGCAGATGGGCGGGAAGGGTCCCAGACCTCTGTCGTGGTGACAGTGCTCCTGACTCAGACCCGGAAGGGCTGCGTGCTCACCCGCTCGGCAGCGACTGGTTCTAGCTCTGAGGACGGACACCGAGCGCACATGAGCCTGCATTTGCTCGTTGCCCTGACCCCGAGAGCAGGGAGCAAGTGCAGCTGCTCGTGATGCACCTGCCCCCCTCCCCGCCCCCGCCCCGCTCAGACACTGTCCGACCCTGCACTTCCCTGTTTGAGTGGCGCTGTTCTCCCCAGGACCCGCGGCCCTGGATCTGCCCTCCACGGAGGACTTCGACGCCCTGGTCTCGGCCGCCATGAAGGCTGATAACACCTGTGGCCTCGCCAAGTGCCGGGCCAGCGTCGTGACTCTGGGCCAGCTCTGCCCACACTGCAGCCACCGCTACTGCCTCAGCCACTGCCTGCCCGAGGTACGTGGGCCCCCCTCCTCGCCCACCCCTCTGACAAAGTCTGCCAGTGTGGGGCAGACACCCTCCACAGACACCCCCCAGCCAGCAGTCCCTCGGCCAGCATTGGGGCCATACGATGGAAAATAGTGTTTCCCCCAGAGGAGGTTCTGACTCTGCTCGTTTTGCTGCAGAAGCGCCGTGGGGTGGGCCTGAGCTCCTGTGTGTCACCCGTCAGGGAGGCTGCGGACCGGCCTGCGCTCACCTCCGCTCGGGGGTGGTCCGGGCTGGGGCCAGGGCACAGGCGAAGGCAGGGAGCCTGGGGACGAAGGGTCCGTGTCGGGAGAGGACGGAGCCCCCCCGAGGTCTCACGCTGGGCTTCATGGTCCCCAAGCTCCAAGATGGGCAGAGCGGTGGGCTTGTCCCCACCCGCCTCGCACTGACTCTGTGTCCCCCCAGATCCATGGCTGTGGGGAGAGGGCCCGTGCCCACGCCCGGCAGAGAATCAGCCGGGAGGGCGTGCTGTACGCCGGCAGTGGGACCAAGGACCGGTCCCTGGACCCCGCCAAGAGGGCCCAGCTGCAGAGGAGCCTGGATAAGAAGCTGGGCGAGCTGAGCAGCCAGAGGAGGAGCAAAAGGAGGGAGAAGGAGATGTGAGCGGCCCTCACACCCTCCGGCCTTGTCTTTGCAAATGCGGGTGGGGGCAAGCGGCCGCCCCTGGTGCTTTCTGTGCCTTGTAGCTGCTCCGGTGACATGACCGGGGCTGCATGAGCGAGCGAGGGGCCTCTGGGAGAGGGTGGGTCCTCGGGCCCAGCGTGCCCTGTCTTGCGCTGGGGTGGGGCGGGCTGCAGTGGCTGTTCCCTGGACCTTCCTGGGAGAGAGCCGCCCCAGGTCTCAGCTTTGCTGGCACCAGGGCCCGTGGGGCTCTCCGAGGTCCCTCGCCAACTGCTTTAAGAGAACCTCAGATGGATGTATTATTTTAGCTGCAGAGTTTTATTTGTTTCAGAGGAGTGTAAGTTATTTAAGAATTAAAGCTGTGCACACGGCCCACAGTAGGTCCTGCGTTCTTTCCCGTTTTGCTCACTTTCCTGAGGTTGAAGGTGCAGGGTGAGCGCCGTTTGCATTTGCTCTAAACTCTCAGGACGTGTGTGGGGTCGTGTCGGGGCGGTCCTTGTCCTGTTAGCAGGTGACAGGGAGAAACCACTTCCTGTTCTGCTTGACTACCCCCGCCCCCCAGGGAAGGTCTGTAATCTGGGGAGGAGCCCAGGGCAGGCCTTTTCCCCGGGGGCTGAGCTGGGTCAGAGAGGCAGCCTGTTGGGCCTGGGGGTTGCCCTGCACCAGAGCTCTGCCTCCCCCTCACCTGCACGGCCCAGGTTTCACTTTTGGGATCCATGGCCTCTGTGAGGCTCAGTCTCCTGACCAGGCATCAGGGCCTCCGTGTCTCAGGCCGTGTTCCTCAGGAGCCTGTCTGTCCTGCACCGTTATGTGTCCTCCACGCCGCCTGACACTGGGACCACTTTGCTTTCACCAGTGCTGGGCCGCCCCCTCGTGGGCACCCCGTCCTCCTGCCCAGACCCGATGCCCTCTTTGCACCCCATGGCCCCCTCTCACCCCCTCAAGTGTCTGGGACTAGACCGTTTGGGAGGGGACGGTGCAGGGACCCCTGTATTTATGTGCCACGCCATCAGTCTGATTACACATGAGTAGAGAGCCTGCCCACATGCGTTTGAGAGGTTTGACGTCACGGTTGCAGGGTGCACGGGGCAGCCTTTGTGCCTGCTGAGGGCGCTTGCTTTATCTTCCATCTGTGTGATGACAAACTCTGATGCCCTGGCCACAGGGAGGCTGGGCTGTGTGTCCTTGGCCAGATCAGAGACCCACACCCACCTGGCCATAGCAAGGCCAGGTTCAGGGCTGGGCCAGAATCCAAAAGGGCCCACCAGGGTTGCACCCTGCCACCCACACACAGGCACTCTTCCTCCACTGCGGGAGCCTGTCTGCAGGAGAGAGGAGGCCAACGCAGAAACAGCCAACAATGGGGTGGGGTCACCTGATCACATTGCTGAGCACCTGGATCCAGCCACACCTGACTCCCACCCCATTCTTCCCAGTGTCCTGAATAAATTCCCTTTTTCAGCTGAAGAAAGTCTGCCTTGGGTTTCTGTCTCTGCAGCTAAAAGGGTCCTTGCTGGTCCAGTTGTGCCCACATCTGTATATGTCAGCATGGCGGGCAGGGCCAAATCAGTGTTAGAGAAAGATCAGGACCTGCACCTTCATCCACATGTTCTTCCCAGGGGCCATTCCTCAGGAAGAGCATGGGCGGGGCTGCTGGAAGGTCCAGAAATGGAGGACCCCGAGTCTGAATGCTGGGCCCTTGAAGGAACACGGCTTCAGCAGGTCCCTTCCCTTCCCACCTGCCTCCTCCTCTGCACGGGGACAGGAACAGCCTCGCCAGCTGTGCTGAGAAGTCCCTGCGGCGAGCAGCTGGCAGTGTTGTGTGTTGGCCCGGGTCGGGTTAGCGGGCTCCTCGGGGTACCTGGTGCCGGGTTCGCCCACCTGCCCCCGCACGGAGCATTCGCCCCTCCACCACTGCCCTCCACTCCAGCCAGTACTGACGCATCGTTAAAATGTCAGCGTTGACGATCGCAATGCAAGAAGTTTCCATGTCTCATTCAGAGAGACCTTGTTAGGAAAATGTTTGTAGCTGGTTGCTTGAAAAATGTCTCCCGTTGGCCTGGACAGGGAGCCTAAAAAAAAAGGAAAAAACACCCCAAGCCAAACATCTGCCCAGCCAGCGAGGGTGACCAAGGGTGACCACCGGCGACCTGCAGGGGCAGCGGAGCCAGCTGAGGCTTCCCGTCAGCGGGCATGCCTCCTGTCCCCTATGGGGGCACCCAGGAGCGGGCCCTGCTGGTTCCTTCTTTTGGGGTGGGGGCCACAGGCACAGGATGGAGCCCTGGTTTGGGAGCCTGTCAGCCCTGGGTTCATTCCCAGATGTACCTCGTACAGCCCGTGTGGCCTTGTACTCAGTCTCCCCATCTGTAAAACAGGGAGATCATAGGGCCCGTCTTGGGATGGCTGTGAAGACGAAATGCCTGAAATATCACAGAGCCCAGAAATAGGGCCTCCGTGCTCAAAAACCGCCCGCAAGGTTGCAGGGACGACGGAAGAAGCACGTGTGGCTCCTCACATGGGCTTAGCGAGCAGCCTTTGCAGCTCAAGGCCAAGGCCGGCGCGAGGGCCCCGGGAGCCAGGCAGCTGCCTGCAGAAGCGGCTGGTTCGGGAGTCCTGCCCGTGGTGTGGGCACGGGCGTCCCCCCGAGCAGAGTTTGTCCTCACCACCTGCCCGTGGGCGGAGGTCGGCAGCCGGCCTGGCTGCTCTGTGTTTACCTGGGTTTGTTTGGAGCGTTACCCAGAGGGACTTGTGGGCCGATGGGCACCACGCTGCTTTGGGACGTTTTTGGGCAGAGCTATAGCGTGGCACTTAAAAGGAACTGCGTTCTGTGCCAGGAGCGTTGCAAAAGCTGCGGCCTTATTTGGTCTGGAAACTTCTTTGCTTGGAGGAGAAGCGGAGGGAGTGAGCAGGCTTCTCCTCTGGGCGGGCAGAGTCTGAACGCTGCCAGGAAGGTCGCCCGTTTGTGAACTCCTCCGTCGATTCTCTGGTGCTGGCTGCCTGCCTTCTTCGCAGCGGTTTTCCCCTTTGCCTCCGCAGCCCGCGCAGCTCTCTTCCACCCCCTTGTGCAACCCACAGCGGTGCGATGACCGTGCCGCGAGCCTCACCCGCGGCCTGTGTGCGGCGCTGGATGGAGGAAACCTCAGGGATGTGCAGACTCGCCCACACAGCCCCCGGGCCCCTGTGCAGACGGTGGAGTCTTCTCCCTCTTCCCTCTGCCGAGAGTCGCCGTTTATTTACACGTTTTTTTTACTAGAGCTGTGGTTTTTACATCGTGAGTAGGTTTTGGACTGTCGTGTGCTTTTTCTGAGCCTGTAGGGATGGCCATGGGGGGTTTTCCTTTATTAAGATGGAATATCGTCAATTGATTGTTGAATGTTAAACCAGCCTTGAATTCCTGGGATACATCCCACTTGGTCTCCGTGTGTCATTTTCATTTACGTTGTTGATGGGGGTGTTCAGAAATACCCAGAAACCCCTGTTTTGGGGTGTGCTCCCAATCCGAGGTGAATCTCTCTATGGGGCGGCTGTACTTAGATTCTTTTCGTGAAACGAGGTAGAGCTCTCAGGGCCCCGAGAAGCAGAAACCCACCGAAGGGCTTCTCACGCCCCTTCATTTCCTATCAAACACGTGCCCGCACCATTCGATTGTCCTGCCACTCAACTGAGTGGTCAGCCCCAGGGAGGAAGACTTCAGCCGTCGGGTGGTCCTGGCCCGAGCTGGCCTTCTTGCCTCTCGGGGTGCACAGAGCAGGCCCTGCGTGAGGCTATGCAGTTGGGCTTTTTGGGGGTGAGTTGGGGTTCACCCCGCCCATCACGTCCCTCGGAGGGAGGGCTCCCGGCCTCTGATTTGTGCAGAGATGCTGCCCAGGCAGCTGGGGCCCTGGATGGATGGAAGGAAGCTGTGGGCGGGGCTGGGGCGCCCAGGGTAGATCACACAGCCTAGTGATGGGGAAATTTCTGGTGTATCATCTTTAGCAAATGAAGGGATGTCTTGGTGCCCCAGTTCCATGTACACCCTGTCCTCAGGTCGAGAGGACGGAGTGTGCAGCTTGCTGGTGCTGTCTCCTCTCCCGGATTCATGCGGCCAGGGCCCGGCAAGTCCCCCAGAATGCCGGCTCTCTCTCCGGATGAACTGGGTGGGCGCCCTAAAGCGGGAGTCCGCGGGGCTCTGAGCTGGGGTGAGCCTGTGCTGGGTCCCCAGGCACAGAGATGTCGGAGCAGGCCCGGCTGCACAGCACGCTCAGGACCGGGGGGAGGCACAGGCCCCACTGGGGGTGCCCCGGCCCCCACCAGGGAGGGGCAGCCGGTGTGCAGGAGGCACAGAATGGAGACTTCTGGTCAGGATGACAATGCAGATCTTGCTTAGGGACACAGCACCCCCATCCACACGTGACCCTCGGCTGTGATACCAAAAACCGAAAATGTTTTCAAAATATGGAGCCTTTCTTAAAGGGAGATACAGAACCTGTGTCCCAGAAAACAGACAGACAGGGCAGGCAGAGGGTGGGAGCTGGGGCCGAGCCCTGCTCTGGCCGCACGAGGGCTGTTTTCCTGTGGGCGACGGGACGAAGGGCCAGGGGGGTTGGGGCCAGGAGGAAGACTTCAGCCGTCAGAGGTGGGACTGGAGCCCGGTTCCTAGGGCAGGGCTTTCTGACGCATCAGAGGGAACGATGGCTGTGCCAGTTACTATGGCTGCATCACACATTTACCCAAAATCTTGTGATTTGCTCCTGGTTCTGGGCTCAGGAACTGGGACAGCACAGCGGGACTCAGAGGTTCAAATGCAGCCCCTGGCCCGGAGGCCGAGGACGCCGGTGTCCCCAGGCTGCTGTGGTCAGGCTCGCTCTGTTCCCCACTCTTCCTCTGAGCGCCCTGTCCCCGAAAACCACATGCACCTGAGGCCCGCTGGGCTCACTTCAGGGAAACTGAGCCAGAGCCGTTTCCCCAGCCTCGTGGCTCTGACCTCTCCCCCCAACTCCGAACAGAAGCCACTCATGCCTCACTAAGAGGCATCTCCTGGTCTGAGTGCCTGGGACTAGCCAAGCCTGTGTCCTCCCAGGCGTGGGGCCCTGTGTGTCTGCGGGGGCCTCACCCAGCAGCTGGCCAACACCGGCTCCGTTCTGCCCCAACCCCACCCGGCAGGCCCACATGCCGTCAGTTTTCTCCCATGTGCTGCCCAGCGGGCTGTTTCCAACCTCTATCCCACCCCTGACAACCTAGCTATCACCTGGGATGTATCTCCTTCTCCCCATCTCCTCATCCCCATTGCCATCTCCATCTCTATCCTCAACCCCATCCCCATCTCCTCAACCCCATCCCCATCTCCTCATCCCCATCCCCATCCCCATCCCCATCCCCATCCCCATCCCCATCCCCATCCCCATCCCCATCTCCATCTCCATCTCCATCTCCATCTCCATCTCCATTTCCACCTCTATCTCCTCATCCCCATCCCCATCTTCATCTCCATCTCCACCCCCTCCCTATCCTCATCTCCATCCCCATCCCCATTCCATCTCCACCTGTATCTCCCCATCCCCAACCCATCCCATCCCCATCCCCATCTCCATCTCCACCTCTATCCTCATCTCCATTCCCATTCCCATCCCCATCTCCTCATCTCCATCCTCCTCTCCCCTCCCCCTCCCCTCCCCCTCCCCATCCCCATCCCCATCCCCAACTCCATCTCCATCCCCATCTCCATCTTCATCTCCCCATTTCCCCATATCCATCCCCATCTCCTCATCTCCATCCCCCTCTCCCCTCCCCCTCCCTCTCCCCATTCCTATCCCCATCCCCATCTCCATCTCCACCTCTATCCTCATCTCCATTCCCATTCCCATCCCCATCTCCTCATCTCCATCCCCCTCTCCCCTCCCCCTCCCCCTCCCTCTCCCCATCCCCATCCCCATCTCCATCTCCATCTCCATCCCCAGCTCCCCATCTCCATCTCCCATCTCTCCATCCCAGGCTCTGTGCTGACCTCGCCCCGCATTTCCTGTTAGAACCACTTGGCACAATGCCGGTCCAATAATGAACCATGTGATTCGTTGTGTGGCAGCCGCTGCCCCTGCGGGAGTGTTGTCCGTGTCATGGCACGGAGCCTGGTGCACACAGGCTCACGGTGGGCGCTCAGCGAGGGAAGAAGAGGAGCACAGATTGTGGGCCCCCGGCCAGGAGAACCCCTCCCGCCCGAGCCTCGCAGCTGCCTTTGCAGGAATGTTCTCGGCTTCCACGCCAAGCGGGGAGCTGGCTGCAGGCCTCTCCCTTGCTTCCAGCATAAACAACCACTCGGAAAGCCGTGGCGTGGACGGGGTTCTGTGTCCCTTGTTTGTGCCGGTGAAATAGCACCATCTATAAGAACAAAATTTGCCTGAAATTGTTCCCCCCCAATTATTCACAAATCAATCCCCCCTCCATTAAAGTAGATGAAGAAAGTCATCCCACTCTTTCGAGTCTATCTCTTCTCTGAACGCATAGAAGCTTGTCATGTGCTGGAAACGATTGGGTGCGGGCGCATTCGCCAGGGGTCTGCTTTCTCAGTGGGCATTTCCCGCGTGCGGCAGCGTGGACAAGCCAGCCGCCCTCAGGGTGCCGTGAGTGTCTGGGGTCCTGTGGGCAGAAGAGGAGGCGACCCAGGGTCAGCCAGGGGACAAGTGAGTGGCATGTGCCTAACCACTGGGCCCCCCTGCCTCCCACTCCACCACGGGGAGTTGCGCTGAGTCCTCACCTGCGCTGGAGCTGCATCCTGTCCTGGGGGAGGGTCTCGGTCACTCCCAGGCCCCTGCCAGTGCCCACGGCTGCTCCCCGGGCAGGGCCGGCTCAGGGGGCTCCTGGGGCTCCTGGGTGTCCGCCCGGTGGCGGTAACTCTGGGCCGTAGCTCTGGCCTCAGGTGGTGAGGTGCCAGCCACGTGGGTCCCGGGAGACCAGGCAGCCCCCGTCCCTGAGGGACACCGTTTCCGTCCCTGCTCAGCACTCTGTCTGTCTGATTAAAGCCTGCGGGGGCCGCCGAGCTGATCGCGCCCCGAGAACAGCCCGGAGAAAGTGCAGGAACCCCTCGGGGTCAGAGTGGCCGGGGCCTTCCCTGCTCGGCCACCTGCCTCAAGCCTCAGTTCCCCGGGAGTGAGAGGGCCACCTGAGTCCACGTAAGCGTGTCCTGGGGCCACCACAGCCAGTGACCACCGACCCAGTGGCTTAACACGAAGGTTTCATTCTCTCCCGGTCCTGGAGGCCAGAAGTCTGGGCCCACAGTGCTAGGGGTTGTTTCCCTCCGGAGGCCGGGAAGGATCTGGGGGAGCCCTCTCCCCCCAGTTCCTGGCTGTGGCCGCTCACCCCCTGCTCGGCCTCCTCTCTGTGCCTCTTTGTCTCTTCACATGACCTTCTCTCGAGGACATCGGTCTTTGGCTTTAGGGCCCACGCCAACCCAGTGTGACCTCATCCTGACTAGTTACAGACCCTTTTCTAAAGTCCCACGTTGCCCGGCCGTGTGGCTCAGTGGATTGATGCATCAAGAGGTCACTGGTTTGATTCCCCCATCAGGGCACATGCCCAGGCTGTGGGCTTGATCCCCACCAGGGGGCGAGCAGGAGGCAGCCGACTGATCTTTCTCTCATCACTGATGTTTCTCCCTCACTCTTCCTCTCTCTCTCAAATCAATAAAAACATTAAAAAGTTTAGAATCCCACTTTGAGGCTCTAGGTCAGTGGCTCTCAACCTTCTGGCCCTTTCAATACAGTTCCTCATGTTGTGACCCAACCATAAAATTATTCTCGTTGCTACTTCATAACTGTAATGTTGCTGCTGTTAAGAATCGTCATGTAAATATCTGATATGCAGGATGGTCTTAGGCGACCCCTGTGAAAGGGTCGTTCGACCGCCAAAGGGGTCGAGACCCACAGGTTGAGAACCGCTGCTCTAGGTGAACATGAATTTTGGGGGACAGTATTCAGAGGCCATGGCCACACCCCTCAGTTGTCTGACGTGATGAGAAGAGGGTTTGCAGGAAGGGGGCCCTTCGGTTCCCGTGGCAGAAGGTGCCGGATCGAGACTTGGGGGAGATGGGCCTGGTGCAGCCACTGTGGGAAACAGTGAGGAGGTTCCTAAAAAAATGAAAGCTAGACCTGCCATTTGACCCAGCAGTCCCCCTTCTGGGCCCACATCCAGAGGAAGTGAGATCAGCATCTCTGAGACCTGCCTGCACCCACGCTCAGCGCAGCGTTCGGTACAACAGCCACGACGTGGAGGCAGGAGGCAGCGTCCGTGTCCGGGACCGACCGATGCAGGGATAAAGGAGGCGTGCGCACCCAGTGCAACACTGTTCAGCCGCAGGAGGAGGGGACCCTGCCGTCTGCACCCACAGGGTGAACTCCGGGGGCGTCACGCTCCGTGATCAGCCAGACACAGAAGGAC